TTTTTTTCAATAGTATTGCTCCTACCGTTACCAATATACCATCTTGTTTATGAGGCAAATCGGAGCGAGCCACCTGGCGAGCCATTTTGTCGCAGAAATATTTCCCTTCACGTTACCAATACATATTTTGAATATTATCCAGATCAGTAGCTCGTTTCTGTAACTACTGGTAGAGAATATACGTCTTTCTACTCCTTAGCAATAGAGAATAGGTCGGCGAATTCATATCTCAATTCGCCTTGGTAGAGAATTGTTACAGAAACGAGCTACAAATCATAAAGTTGTGAACAAAAATTTCATTAAAATCATTTCGGTCGTTTAGGTGGAGTTCACTCGAAAACACACGTACCGAAGAATTATATACAGGGACGAGCAAAACTGTAACATGGTGTTACACTTTTTAATTCACCCACCGCTATGTTTCCCAGTTCTAACGACTTTCATCCTTTTGTTGTATATTCTTGTTGGTACATCCCTACTCCCTCTCGCATAACGATTTGAAGTCAATACAACAACAATAAAAAACCCAGCAGACAAAAATGTAAATTAAGGCAAATGTTACAGTTTTGCACTTACTCTCAGTTTTGCATTTTACAGTTATTTTTTACTTAGTTGGAAGTCAGATGACTTTTTTCTGTATTGTAATTTATTGAAGAAGTAATCACCGGTAAATAATATAGTTAATCAGGAACCATAAATGTAAATAATAGATTTACTGTGGAAAGGCGGTACCGCAGGAAAGTGGCAAAAAATTGTGGAGCTTGCTACTTGAAAATATTTAGATAGAAAAAAATATAGCCTAAAGTGTTCCCAAGGGCAAAGGAAGTCTATCAAAAAATATTACGGTCCAATATCTTGTGAACTTAGCAGCAAGTAGCGATGCAGCCACTATTACAGAAGCGCTTAAGGTATTAAACTTTAATGCAAATCAGTTGACAGCGATGCGACGAATTGCCAAATTGGCGCAAAGGCATCATAAAAGAAGAAAAAAGCTAACTTGATCAAAATATGTGTGCGAGAGTGGTAGCATTTTGCTGTGTCGCCCGTAAACCGGACCGTTGCCTATTGGGATATGTTAGGCCTTTCAAAATGCAATAAAAAACATATTTTTAAGTTTCAATTGAAGGTTATTTGGTCTGACAAGACTCAATTAATTGCTTTCAATCAGATGGCCGGGCATGGTATTGGATCAAAGACCCAAATTAAGCCCATGCGCAGCATGTGAGGCAAACTGTGAATCACAGTGGTCGGTCAGTAATAGTTTGGGGTTGTATTTAAACAATTTTGTGGGTCCGTTAGTACGCATTATGCGTAAGGAACAGTATCTGTTCATATTTCAACAAAATTTGCAAGATGTAGTCGAAAAATTAAAGTTTCTGCTGAAAAATCACCCAAAACATACTGCATATGTTCGCAAAGACTGGATACAAAATAAAAAATTTGCTAATTTGAAATGACCTCCACAATCCGCGGACATAAATCTAATCGAGAATTTGCGAAATCAACTAGAAGCACAGCTTATTAAGCTTGCAAGTCCGTATAATCGAGTACATTAGCTGTGAAAGCAAACTAAGGATATATGGAGGATATACCTCCAGAAGCTTTACAGAGATAAAAATAAGGTATGCCAAATCGCACCCAGAAATTAAAACAAGCAAAAGGGTACTGAATATTGTGTTGGTAGTTCTTTTTTCTCGTTAAAATTGTTAAAAAGTTCTCAAAAATATATGAGTGCAAAACTGTAACATCTGCCTTAATTTACATTTTTGTCTGCTGGTTTTATTATTGTTGTTGGATTGACTTCAAATCATTATGAGAGAGGAAATACAGGTGTACCAATAATAACATACAACAAAAGTTTGAGAGTCGTTAGAACTTGGAAAGATAGCGATGACTGAAGTAAAAAGTGTTACACCATGTTACAGTTTTGCCCGTCACTGTATGTATTTATAGATAGCTAAAACTGTCAGTATGTTTTGAAGGCACCACGCCCTCTTCACCAATAACCCCCACTTTCCTCCAAGAGTATAGGCTTGATTTCAAAACCTTCATACCAAGTTCCAGGACTCTACCACATGCGAAATATGCGATGGCTATAACAAAAAAAGAATAGGTCGGTCTCTGGTCCACTTCACGGAAAAAATAATCACATATGTTAATCTAAGCAAAAAGCTACCTTCGTACCAAATTTTAAGCAAATCGGACCATAAATACGATTTCCTCGATTGGATCGGTTCCTGGTCGACTTCCCGGAAAACAACAATCATATATGCTAATAAATAGGATTTTTTTCGAATAGAGCGGTCGGTGGTCCACTTCCTAAAAGAGAAGGATCCTATATGCTAATCCAGGCAAAAGCTACCTACGTGCCAAATTATAAGCAAATCGGACCATAACACGATATTTTCGAATAGATCGGTCCCTGGTCCACATACCGAAAAAAACATAAAATAATGTCTGGAGCAGGTTATAATGTACCTTTGTACTATTTAGCATGTCATTGGTCGGTAACAAGAGCAACTTAAATTTAAATCTATTAAATACATTCTAGCGTGCCCACAAAAGCGGCTATAACTTTTTTTCTATTCGAAACAGCAAGAGTGGCACCTTTCTGAAATCTTTATTAAATGATCAATATTTTTATGTAATGTAAAGTTATAGCTCAGAAATTTTTTTTCACCAGAGATAGTCAAAGTTGGGGTGGAAAATATCAAAAAGTTAAAAATCCCAAAATAGTCCTAAGTTTATGATGGTTCTTTAATATATTTTAACTACATTGCATTTGAGTATGGAGAAGCAACTATCTGGAAGTATTTTACATAAAAAATTTACTAAGTATAGCCTGGGTTGTAGATGCAATTAAAGAAAATACATGAAAAGGCTCGATTTTTTTTTTATTCAAAAAAATATAAATATTTCAAAAATGGTGACACTTTTACCTGAAAATTTTTTGTTTATCAGGGTGCTGACGCAAAATAGTTTTATTCATACGAATCATTGCTAAAGTTCTGATTTTTTATTTTGTGTTGCTAAGAGTAGACAGAACTTCGCAACGTTCCGAATAAATAATACTATTTTGCGTCAGTTTCCAGGGCAGTTAAAAAAATTCGTATAATTTTCGTCACGAAATTGCTATCAAAAATTTTGTGTTTCTAGTTCAGTTTTCGTCACTCGAAACTTTTACCTTAAAGAGTTGTTTTGTTTGATATCCATTATTTTGGGGAAGCAAATTTAAAATCAACAAAATCCAAACAAAAATCTAAATGTTTTATTTTTCCCAAATAAACCGCTAAAAACCCTATCTAAATCTAAATAATTTATTAAAATATTTAACATTGAATTCAATTCCATTGAAACACATATGTTTTTTTCAAGAATGATAGAATACAAGATTGTGCCGATCAGAGAGGATTTTTGAGAATAACTTTTGTGTGACGTCACACTGGTGCAATTGCGAGAGCGGAATGCCAAAACGTGAGCAAGAATGGAAGAAGAAGAAAAAATGTTGCAAGGAAAACGTAAACAAGTTGCACAAGTGTGACGTCATGCAAACAACGATTCTGTCAAATTCGTTAAGAGAGGAATAGCGGTCCGAGATCGGCGCAACCTTTGTATTCTCTCAATCGTGTGTTTTTTTAAGAAGTTTCACTTCTATCACGAGTACGGTGCTGCACTCGCCTTTTTTACTGATGCGCGTTTGCTCAGTGGCAATTTATACATAATCAGTAGTGGCACATAAAACGATATAAATACATTCATACATAAGTAAATATGTATGTACAATGTAGGAAATAGTGTAAGCGTCTTCTTAGGTAGGCTAAGGGCCAATTTCACAGTGCGTAGTTAACTCCGAATCGACAGTTAACTAGAGATTTTCAGTACAAAAATCTGTAGTTAACTCCCGATTCCAAGTTAACTACGCATTGTGAAATTGGCCCTAAGTACGGGTATAGTTTCAACTATCCAGCGCACGATATCATTGCATTCACACCGAATGCGTATATACATGTATGTATGTACAAGAAAACAAAGAAACCAGCAAAAATAAAAAGATTTCTTATTTATTTAATTATGTATTGCGTGCAGGCAGTGTTGCCAGGTCTTCGGCATGAGAAAACGTCCCTCTTGGTCTGAAAAAACGTCAGTTTATACCCAAAAACGTCTTTTTCAAATGTATGCACAAAGAATTGTTCTTATTAAACTTTCATTGTATACAAAGGTACATATGTACGTAAGGTATATTAAAATGTCATTTGCTCACATTTAAAATTTATTCTAAACTGGTTTGAGATCGTTAACATAAAAATCATTTTATACATACACTTGTGATCAGCTCATTAAGTCATCGATTTCGGCTGTTTCTTTTTTGTTTATTTAATGTTTATTATTTCTCCATAAAAGCCTAGCTCATTATATAACAAACAAAATATAAATCCACATTTCAAACTTTGTGGAAAATTGGCAAAATATCAGCTTGATTTTCAACTTTTTATTCAGATTTTTTTTTGAGTATGCAGGTTGATTAAGTTCCAGGGCATAGTTTTAAGGTGCTAAATAATCGCGTTGATTTTTAATATATACATATTTTTCTTCTTGTAAACATTTAGTTAAGTGGTCTGTTGTCGAAAATGCTAAATTACGTTCTGTTAAGAAGGAACATAGCAATATTTCAACCTTTTTACGTTCATTACATCCATGCGACTAATTGTGTCATTTTCTTTATGCGCTTAAATAAGGGTTAAGTCATCTGTGTCGAAAGAATAAATATATTTGAAGCAGCTGCTGCAAAAAACAAAGCTTGCAAAGATTTATTAAGAAAATAATTCAAAGTCAGTTCTACTTACAAGATTTAGTAACAGAGAAAAATTACTGGGAAGTTAAAAAACGTCATTTCTTACACAAAAAACGTCCAAACGTCAACAGGATATATAAAACGTCCAAATGACGTTAAAAACGTCAACCTGGCAACGCTGCGTGCAGGGAAGTCAACTCGCGGGAAATTCCCCCGATTTGCAGGGAATTTCTGTTTAGGTGACATCGGGGAATGGAAAGTTTTTAGCGGGAAATTGGGTATGTTACGTTTATAACTTAAAGTAACCAAATTAGACGAACATGTTATCTTTTAACCATTTTTCGCTATTTGGAGCGAAATTTTTTCAGTTTGAATCGTAATATCTCCACAACAAGAGTCTTCCCAGATATAAGCCAAATGATATACACCAATAGTAAGCTAAAGCTTTGGGCTAGACTTGAGGAAAGTCTGAATAAAATCGACTGACCAGTTTTTGAGCAAATTTTACATAGTTACATCCCGAGTTAATAAAAGGAAGGTAAAAAAAAGAAACAATTTCGCTGCCTTTCCTCCCATGAGACGCTTTCTTGGAGGCTCGTATGTAAGGCCGGCTGCACTGAACAATTGCTCACTTGGAACGCTGGCGGGTGGAGTGCTCAAATACTACGTGCCAGATCTGCCAATTTGTCGTATTTTAGTAAAGTTTTCCACCAATCGAGAGGATTTTCACCGAGATGAGCTTCTTTTTCTTTAAGAGAAGCCTTTAATTGACCTTTACAACACTGACAAAATTCATCATATGACTATAATCACAATTACTGCGCCTAAAACACAATATAAACATTGTTTCGCCGTTGTCACTTACTCAGTAGGTCATAACAATAAAACTGACAATTGTCATATGACAGCTTAAAATAAATTTGCGCCATAGTATTAGGCGCAGTAATAAAGGCAATAGTCAGCCACTGAGTTTTGTCAGTGGTGTAGGAATAGGGCGGTTAATTTCACGAGGCAGCACTTTCGTTATCACAAAGGACATAGAATATAAGTGAGCCATAACCATAGCCAGCATCCTTATTAATAATATAATTTATGAAACTATAAAAAATAATACTAATACCCTCAAAAAAATCGTGGATGTGAAAACATAAGCTGTAGCTCGAGTGGCGAAAATAGAAATAGGGAAGAGACGTTTTAAGAGCTAGATTCGGATGTCCGATCGGATATCCGGTAGAGTGCAGCTCTTTATAAAATTTAGAATATTGTTATATGTATTACGTTTATTTGTTTAGCGGCATACCAGTTTATCCGCTTTTTGATCTGATCGTAATACGTAATTAAGAATAAAAAATTTCTCCCCTGAAATCCCAGTTAGAAAATAATCATGTATTAAACAGAAAACTTTTCGTATGCAACCCTGACCTATCGTTTCGATATGGAGGCTATGCTCGAATGTTCTAGTTGTAATTTTTAGAGATTTACGAAAACGCTTATTGCACGAGAACTAATGAAGCGATTTGAAAGAAAAGTATGGCGTTTCAAAGATCCCTGCAGTGAAAAATTATCAATTGTTAAAACTAACCAACTTATACTTAGATTTTTGGCGAGATTTCGATTAATACCTCGCTTTTAATTAGCTATGACAAAACCAACTTAAAGTGAATTGTAAAGTCGTGCAGGAGTCATGCAGACGCAATCGGGAGTTGGTTTTCTTTACAAGTTTCTATTAAATATCCTCATACAAAAATTACTTTCAATACACTTTTTTTCTGAACTTCGCAGATTCTTTTTCATATTCAGGACAAATAAAAGGGAGATCGAAATTTTATACTATCATTTTGAAGTTATGTCTGACGGTGTTCGAATATGGGGCCACCCAGAGCAGTATATGTAAACAAATATGAAATGTAATAAAATAAAGTAAATAAATAAGTAAATAAAAAAGTAAAAAAGCAAAAAAATATTTTGTTTTTCTTATTGATATTTTATGTCCAAAAGTAGTTAGTTAAAAGTTAGTTGACATGTAATGCAGAGATATCCATGTCTGACTTTTTTGCGGCCATCGCCCCACAAAAGTAGTTAGGTTTTTTTGAACAAAATACACAGTTAATAGTTAGCACTAGTGTTCGCGTAAACAGACTAAAGTTAGGTATAAGCTAACGTCACTCCCTGCAGGGATATAATTCCAAACCTATCGACGGATCATTTTTGTAAGTAACCAATTCGGTTTCAGTCGTAGAAACAACGGTAAATATTGGCTTATTTGGAACCTTTAAAGTGCTCTAGCAACTTACGATTTGCAGGTTATACTTTCATTTTCGGGATATAGGTTATTTGGAGCAAAAGAAATATTATCGTGTACAAATTTTATATAAGTTCAACAAATATTGAGCATTTCAAGGCAAAAAATTGTTGAAAAAATCAGCATATTTTTTTTATTACCAAAATGGTCGAAAACCGCTCGAATGATTTTGTTTTTGTTTTATTTAATCAAAAATTCAAGTGTTTTCCTTTTGTTTGGTGTATGGGAAGTATAGTTACGGTGACCATCCGTCCTTTATTTTAAAGGACAGTCCTTTATTTTAACCCCCTGTCCTTTATAATTTTTTTTTTTTAAATAAAGGACGCCTTTTGTCCTTTATTTCTTAAACTGTCCTTTAAATCGGCTCTGCTTTTTTCAGAACGCGGAATTTTTTTAAACGCGGAATATGAAAAATAAAAATGTCCCTTATAAAATATAATGAAAACCTTTGCCAGTTTGTTTCGCACCCCTCTTAAGGGTTTCTATTTAATCAGTTATCTTTATACAATCTATAAAGTACAGGGAAAGTTGTGCCCAGGACCGTGTTGTGCGCAGAGTTTCCAGTTCCATTGAAAGAGAACAATAAACCCCTGCTGCACAGTGGTTTAAAACTGGCATTTATTGTTCGTAATTCACTGGAGCCCCAATTTGTCACTTCCTTTAGATAATGTTTATTTTTTTTTTATGAAAGCTTACAATATTTGCAAAAGAGCCTGATTTCTGTATTTTTATTTGATTACATTAAATTGTTTTGTGCAAAATGCACAAAAAGTAGCAATTTTGAAGAAAATGTATTCTCCTGTTCCAGTTAATAAATGTTACAAAACAAAAACTAGTTGAAAACAAAAAGAAAAATACAAAAAAAAAAATTTAAATGTTATAAAAAAATTTTCACCAAAATTATTTTTTATACCCGAGCTCACTTGTGCACAAGGGTATTATAACTTTGTTCACATAACGGTTGTTTGTAACAGGCAAAACGAATCGAGATAGATATAGACAAATGTATACATAAATGATCAGAATGAAAAGAGAAATCGATTAAGCGGTGACTGTCTGTCCGTCCGTCCGTCCGTCTGTCCGTATGTCTGTGCGCACGATAACTCGAGTAAAAATTAAGATATCTTAATGAAACTCGGTACGTGTACTTCTTTCGGGCGTAGGACGGATGGTATTGAAAATGGGCAAAATCGGACAATAACCACGCCTACCTCCCATATAACGGTAAGTTTCATAAATACAAAAACTGCGATATTTTAGTAACTACTGAAGATAATTCAATCAAAATTGATATTTATAATAAATTTTAGACGAAAAATAAGAATATTAACTTTTTTTTTAAAATGGGCGTAGCCACGCCCACTTATGGTTACATGTGTATATCTTGGTAACCGCTGCATCAATTTATTCCAAAGTTGTTGGCCCTGGTACAGCATACCAAATGGCCGAAAATTTTTAAAATCGGACAATAACCACACCCACATCCCATATAACGGTAATTTCGAGAAATACGAAATCCTCGATAAATCAGTAAATATTAAAGCTAATTTATTCAAAATGATGGTTGCAACAATTCTTTGCCAGGAAATACGTTTATGATAAAATGTTGGAAAATGGGCGTGGCACCGCCCACTTATGATCACGTATATGTATCTCGCTAACCGTTCTAGCAATTTGTACCAA